AATAGAGTGACACTATTACTTCTCTTGATCTAGACACTATACTTCTATACTGCACAAACTGAGAGGTAATGAGGTTAAAGTACTGGATTAGGACTGTAGGGATTCAGGTTCAAGTCCCTACTCAGCTATGAAGTCCATTGGGTGACTTTGGGCCACCCAAAAATAGGAAAGAAGTTCCAGAATCTGGGAGCAGCTACTGAGAAGGTCTTCTCCCACCTCACTATCAAATGTGAGGTTGTATGGAGGATAAGCACGGTGGGAAGATGCAATTACCATGGATATTGCCTATGTTCCTTGGGGGGGAAGGCAGATATAAAATGCAATAAAAAACATTTATTGATTTTGTTGTTAACTGCCATCAAGTTGACTTTGACTTATGGCAATCCTGTGAATGAAAGGCCTCCAAGTCATCCTATCCTGCCCTGCTCAGGTCTTGCAGACTTAAAACAGTAGTGGCTTCCTTGATTGAGTCTATCCACCTGAATTGTGGTCCTCCTCTTTTACCAAGCATTGTTGTCTTTTCTAGCAAGTCATGTCTTCTTCTAATACAGCAGTCGGCAAACTACGGCCCGCGGGCCGAACCCGGCCCACCGAGGCCTTCTAACCAGCCCATGGCCAGTCCTGACGACGACGACGCGTGCGAGCACGGAGCGCCATTTTGCCTTCCAAAATGGCGCCCGCACTCACGCACGTACATGCACGATGGCGGGGACCATTTTGGAAAGCAAAACGGACCCGGTGTTGTGCGCATGCGCTTGCGACGCCGGTGCCATTTTGTCTTCCAGAAAGGCACCCGCCGTCGTGCGCATGTGTGTGCGAGCGCAGGCACCATTTTGGAAAGTAAAATGGCACCCCATGCTCGCGTACGCATGCGCACCACGGCAGGAGGTAATGCGCATGCGTGCACGCGCCTCCGCCGCCATTCTCCCCCCCCTTCGGCACACCGAAGATCAGGGAACAGCAGATCCGGCCCCACCCCAAAAAAGTTTGCTGACCTTCTAATATGTCCAAAATATGACAGTATCAAGTTAGTCATCTTGACTTCCTGGGAGAGTCCAGGCTTGGTTTGCTATAGGACTCACTTATTGGCCTTTTTAGCAGTCCATGGTCTCCCTAGAACTGTTCTCTAGCACCACATTTAAAATAATGTTAATTTTTGTCCCATCCGCTTTCTTCACCGTCCAACCTTCACAACGATACACAGAATTAGAAAATACAATGGCACAGAGAATCCTAACTTTAACATTCAATAATATACCTTTACACTTCAGGATCTTGTTTAGTTCCTTCATAGCTGCCCTTCCAAGTCATAGCCTTCTTCTGATTTCTTGGCTTCAGTCTCCATTCTCATCCCTCTACATTTGCGGCTTTGATTTCAGAGGATTCGATTATTCACGGATTTTATTAATATGTTCTCTCTAGGAATATCTAGGTCAGGGGTAGGCAACCTTTCCCCCTTTAAGGGCCGAGGGACTTCAGGTCCCAGAATCCCAGGAGCTATTGGCCAACATGGGACTATTGGCCAACATGGCTGAGGCTTCTGGGAGCTGAAGTCCCTCGGCCCTTAAAGGGGAAAGGTTGCCTACCCCTGACCTAGAGCTTCCTCGAAAGGTGTTATCTCAGGTAAAAACATAAGTGTTTTTGTTATTTGCAGTTTTTTCCACATTCACGGGGGTCCTGTGTCCCTAACCCCAGCAAATATGGGGGGATGAGTGTAGTATCATCCAAAATCCACAAGACAGTGATGCCTTTATTGGGTCAACCAAAATGCACATTATACATGTTACATTTTGGTTAGCCCAATAAAAGTATCGCTGTCTTGTGGATTGTGGATGATAGTGTACTTTGCCATATGGCCATCATGGCTACCCCGTCCAGATACCCATTCTGATTAATGAGTGAGGCCAAGGAATGGAAAATCTTGAACTATATATACTGTTGTAAAATGC